AATTGCAGTATGAAGAAAGGGATAAAGCTATTTTAACCCTTTTGGGGTTTTGGCCGTACTAGTACGGCTTACGCACAGGGGTTTTTGACATACTAGTACGCATAAATTCTAGCGCCGTCAAATCTAGTGAGAGAAAGCTGGTAGGCCTACATATGAAAGAATGGGTCTATGTGGTCAGTGTGAGCAGTATAAAAAAATCTTGCAGCACACAGTGCGTAATGAGAAAAAAAAACTTTGACCGTGTTTTTGGATTAAAACAGCGACTTTGCACTGTATTTTCGTATGGTATTTATTGTTGTATTCTAGTTTTCTTGGTCTCATTTTATAGAATGGAAGACATATTACAGAAATTGCATTGATTTTGACTGATTTTACAATGAAAAGTACCTTGAAATTGACCTCAAAGTAGCAGAAATGTTCGATTTTTACCAAAGATCAAAAGTAAACAAATCACGCCAAGCGTCCAATACACGTCAACTGGTGAGTCTAATATTCTTTCACAAGTGCGCTGATATTATTTATACCATTTCTACACTAATGCAGCAGTCTGCAGAACAGTAAATCTTTTATTTTTTGTAAGAATAAAAATTCAAAGTGGAAAGCAAAAGAATGTAAGAGGGGTGTGGGGATGTGACTAATGAACAGAGGAAATGTTATTTTAGTGCCAGGAATGTCTTTCTTGTTTATTCTGGACTCTATTCGGAAATTGGCATCTTTTGAAATTTGTGTGAAATTGGCAAAATTGCTAAATTCTGACCACTGTATTGGATAGTTGAAATCGGTAAATGGGTGGTTCCTTGTACTCATTCGATAGAAAAAATGGAGTTCTAGTGAAATAGTTGTGATTTTTATCGACTAGTACACTGGAATTAGCAGAAAATAGGGCTCAAAGTGGGCAAAATCCCCGATGCGTAAACATCGTCGAGACCGCTAACTTCACAAGAGTATATTTCCGTAAGTTTTCCATCAAATTTCATACTTTTGGTGTCATTATGATCGGGAAAGGATTCTCTGTCTTTTCATAAGAATTTTTAAATTTGGCCGACCCTGAGAACAAGTCTCTGAGAGAACCTTCCGACCCCCAAAGGGTTAAGAGGAAAATTAACTGTTGTCTTCTGAAACTTTTATATCTGACAGGCTGCAATAATTATGTAAGCCTGTGGACTACTAACAGGAACAGCCTGAAGCCTGATTAGCCAGGCAGTCATCAAGGATTTCTGGCCTCAAGCCTTATGCAGGTTACATTCCCAAAATCGGTGCTATGTGCAAAATGCAGGACTGGTAATGAACATTTGGGAAAATGGGGTTACGTTGTTGACACCTCAAAAAAAGTTAAACATATTTTGTTTTAATTTCTTAACTCATCAGAAATAATAAAAAATTTGATAGCTTACATTGTGCAACCAGTTAGGCCTTGCCGGATGTAGTATGGTTTAGACAGTCAAAAAGAAGAGTACACAGCTAAAATTGTTTAGATTTTTTACCTTGAAATCTGGTGGTTCTTGCCTATTGATCTTGATTTTAGTGAAGAAGGTTGCTGTGATACTACTGAGCCTAGGTGAATGGCTCTTGTGTTGCTGTCAATTGTGTAGTTGAGCAGGAAAATCTCCAGCAGCAGCATAATCAGCAGACACACTTTTCCCACAATAAATTTTATATCATACACACAACTGCCAATTGTACTTTTTCCCTGATAAAAAGGACATTAGGTGGGGCACTTTTCTTTATATTAACCTCTTTCTGCACATTCAGTAACTTTTGTGACATATTTAGTTGTATTAACCACTGACATTCCCTTCAGCAGGCCACAGTTTGGATTACTCATTGTGCAAGCTCTTATCCACCTCATGAATTGCTGATTCTTTAGCATTACTAGTATTCCTGTTTTTTGTTGGCATGGCTAATATCTAGAGACAAAGTGGGGTGATGAAAAGATCAAAAATAAAGTGGCGGGTATAGGAGTGTATGATATGATACTCCTTCAAGAGGCAACTGACCTCATAGAAGACTATATACACTAAGGAGCCAACCTTTAATGCAATAGCATCACCTTAGGCAGAGGGGAAATTTCCCAGAACACGATCAAACTCGATTTTATGCAAGACATGATTTCCCCCAACCTTTGCAGCATGAACAGCCCATCAGCTTTCCACAATAAATAATAAAATCTCAGTAGTGATGGATATAAAACTCAGTAAGTCAATGCATAAAATGTAAGAGTCTGTTGTAATTTAAAAATCATACTAGATAGAAGAATTCATGGGAATTTCATATTTGTTACATAAAATTGTGCATTCAAACAATAAATAATTCCATTTTTTATTTTTTATAAAACTGTGGTACTGGCTGGGCATCTGTTATTGTCAACCTCACATTTTTAATTTTTCAGCCACTGGACACATTTCTCCTATTCACACACTTATTGTACTCATTCTGCAGTTGCATGTTATTGTAGAATTGCATTTTAGGTACATTACTGTACTCTCTCAATCCACAAGGAATGCATTTCACAAGACTGTCTTGAAGTAAAAATTCACTAGTATGTAATCTGTGTTTCAAACAGAAACACATGGATATGGCCTGTGTCACAGTGGCTCCTGTGCCCAGACATAATGTTAGTCAGATAGTTTGTGCAATTTTAGGTAGGTTGTAATATAAATTCATTATCTACTAGGCATGTAATATGTTGGAGGGTTGGGGATCCAAAGGTAACTTGTGCATCACAAGCCAGTTTAATGCAAAACTGCATAACGTAGTACCATCTTAGAATGGAAGACCCAGGAACCCAACCCTAGATATCACACAGTTGGCTGTTAAGCATGGCTCATGGATAGTAGAATTTGTGTTCAGTCCATCAGTCTTGTAGAAAGTACAGTATAAGGCTGCAGAAGTGGCTTATATACTGTAGTCAAGTGAGGTGAAGCAGGAGGAGGCGGGGTCAAAGTGGAACCATCCACTAGTTTAATTAGGTCTTCGTCCAAAGGTTGAATAAGTGTTGAAGAATTCTTTGTATCAAGATCCCATGATGTTGCAGCGTCTGACAGATGTGATAAATGGTTTAAAAATCAACAAGCTGAAGAATGAGACACTTATGCAACATATGGAAATCCTTATTGAAGAAACATCACCTGATTGTTAGCTACAGCAATTGTTGACTCGGGGTTGACAGATGGAGCACTGATGTCAGTTGTACTGTTAGTTGTTGGAAGAGTGATATATTGTTAGGTGTTGGAGTGGTTATGACAGATCCAAAGCTTGCTTTTTTGTTGGGTAATGGATCTTTTATTCTTTCTGCAGTGACCAAAGAAGTTGCAATGGAATTTTCATGTGCGATGTTTTGAGCTTTGTTTGTAGAGCCCTAGTACTAATGGATTCCCACTAGTTATTTCTTATGTTAATCTCAGTGTTAGAATTCCAGGGCTTCTCAATAGTGTCAACATCAGCTGAGCATCCTATGTCACTTGATGTAGGCCTGTTTGGTTATCTACGATAGTTTTAAAACAATTTAATGATTGTAAGAGCTCATGAGGTGATTCTTTTTGATGGAATATCCTGGCTGCCATCTTACAACACAGTCCAGTAGAGCATTGTTGATTGTGATGCTAAGCTCATTTCTGGTACACGTGTCACAGGTTCATGGATACCTTTCAAGTTTCTGAGATGAACACCTGGTTATAACAAAAGTCTCCTGACTTGCATGCTATGTGACAGTAATTGAAACACATGGACTCTAGACATATAAGATATGTCTGACCTCTTGTTGTGTATCCACAAACTCTGCAATATCTTTTGGGACAATAACCACATATTTTGCGATGTGACATCATCACAGAAGAAAAAAGTTTGAGAGATTCTGATAAAGTTATGCAGGAAAGAGAGTGTTATGTGAAGAGGAAGTAGACCTCACTGTGTGGGTGGCCTGCCAGAGGGAGGAGGGGGGGAGTGATACCTCTACATACTGATCACTTAATAATAACTCTTTGTTTGTTAACCACTCACGTCTTGTCTGATAAAAGTAGTTAACACAAACTATGATGTTATAGATGCACAATCACATTTTATGCACAGATGTTTTTACATAAAACGCCAAAAATTAGTGATATTTGATATGAGAGCAATTGGTGAATGGCGATACCTTAGGCCTGCCAGTGACTCGGCTCACACACTGGAATATTGTTGAGTTTGCTGATATTCAATTCGATGAAGGTACTGGCTCACTTTTACTGATGTGATGTAGGAAGCCCAGTGTCAGTGAACAGTTTTTTCCTGACCAAACTTCATAGTTAAGTAGTATTAATATTGTTTGTGGAGCTCACTAACACACTTCCTCCCACAACCATGACCTCCCCCCCCCTGCTTTCCCTTCCCCCCCCCTCTCTCTCTCTCTCTCTCTCTTTATTCTCTTTCTCCTCCTTTATTCTTCCTCATGTGAGAATAGGATTGCTGTGAATCAATAATATGATGGTATCCGAGCTCTTCTCAAATTCTTCCCTAGAGATTCAACATCAGTTATTTATTAGGTACACAAATATTTATAAGTATATGTGATCATTTTTTTTTTTTTTATTCTTCCTTCTTTATTGCATTTTGTATCTAGTGCTTCTAGACTTTCTTGATTTCACTTTAGCAGTGTATTACACTTTTGCCTGTTCTGCTTTTTTTTTCCATGAAATCTCTTGAAAATATGCTGAATTTCATATAGCCTATTCCAACATGACACACAGTATCCAAACCTGGTAAAAGGACTTTTGAAAAGTATTTCATGTTAAGTATAAAATTCTAAGGCCTTATAAGAAATCTGTTTTATGTTTAGTATAAAATTCTAAGGTCTTATAAGAAATCTATAGGAAAAATTATGATAATCATTTCCGATAGGGTCTCTTTCCCAATGTGTTTAGCTACCAGTATATGTATAAGGTTTTTCTGTCATGCATGTAGTGAGTATCTTGCTCATAGCTCTTAGAGTAAAATATTTCACTGAACTAAGTATTTTTATACAGGAAACATTGGAAAAGAAGAGCCATGCTGCTAGACTTGCTAAAATGAAAGAAAATCATGAAGAAGAGCTGAGGCAGCTGGAGGAATCTCATGAAGAGAATGTGAAGGAACTGGAGGCACAGCATGATGAAGACTTATCCAAACTGAAATCTGACTTTAAGGCTGAATTAACAATGAAGAAAACAGAACTTGAAAACAAACTAACTGAGTTTAAAATTGAATATGAACAGCGAATGAACAGTTTAGGACAAGAGGATGAAATAAATGAAGGTGTAGATGATAATGAAAGACATAGAGAGAGTGCAGAATCGGATAGAAGAGCTAGTTTACAGGAAGAAAAATTTATCCTGAATGTCAATGTGAATGGGGAAAATAGGAGATTAAAAAAAGAAGAGAAAAAATATGATCATATACTGAGGGAGCTAAGAGAGAGACGGAGAAGTCTCGAGGAAGACCTTGAAGAACTCAAGACCCAGGAAAACAAGGTAAAGGAGCTAAGAATTCGGAACTTGGCATCAGATGCTTCTTCCTGCTGCAGCAAAAGCATGTGCATTCATGAATCTAAATACAATAAAATGAAGGAAAAATATTCCAACCTAGTAAGCCGCATAAAGTCAGAAAAGGCGAAGAAGTGCACTAAAAAGTCACGAACTGCTCATGAAGATAGTATTCAAAACACTCCATCAATGTCAAGTGATAAAAGTAGTCTAGAAAGTAATGTCAATGTATCAGAGAGTGGGCAACCATCTCATGATCTAACCTCCAGCATCATGTCCAGTCCTAAGCATGTCACAAAGCAGTACAGTTATTTACTTAAGAGCACAAGTGATAACAGTGAAGATGATGAAATTAAACTTGCTAATCAAGTTTTGGAAAAGTACAATAAAATTCCAGAATACAATCACTTAAAGCTCAATATGACAAAACCCATTACAAGTACTCCTAAAGAAGCATGGATGGAAGATGAACTACTTATACATGGCCGAAAAGTTTTGAAGAAAACAGAAAAGTACCTAAAATCAAATTCTATGAAAAACTATCGTGATGTAGCAGATTTGAGAGCAGAAGACGTAAGAAGAGAAATTCTACAACAGAATACAGATTTTGAGGCATTGTCATTAAAGGTACTGACTAAGACTTATTTGGCCTTGTTTATTATTATATCATATTCTCTGTTCTCTGTTCCATCATGCACCAGTATTTCTGTATCATTTGCAACTTGGTACGAAAATTAAACTACCAGTAGTTCTAAAATTAGGATGCATCATTCAAGCTTTTTTTATGCATTTCAGTCAGTGTTTGTATTGTATAATACTCTTATCTTATTCTGTAATTGAAGTCTTCCTTTGACTCTATAATTTTTATCATCTTTATCATTAATAAATTTCCTATTTCCATAAAGTGGGGAATTTACTTGTCAAGAAAAGATGGAAAAATATTGTAGGAAATTAAAGTCAGAGTTATTCAGTGACATTGTTGAATGCAGTTGTCATTATTTTCCATCCCTTAATACTGCACCACTCTCCAAAGTATGCTCCATCATAGGAAACTTGGACAGTACCAAAACATTAATACAGTGGACCCCCGCCTTACAATATTAATCCGTTCCTGAGAGCTCATCGTAAGCCGAAATTATCATTAGCCGAATTAATTTTCCCCATAAGAAATAATGGAAATCAAATTAATCCATTCGTGACACCCCAAAGTATGAAAAAAAAAAATTTTACCACATGAAATATTAATTTTAATACACACAAACTGAAGAAGACATGCACAATTACTACTTTACTAAGAATAGAATACATGACACTTACCTTTATTGAAGATCTGGTGATGATTGATGGGATGGGAGGAGGGGAGAGTGTGGAAGTTATTGTTTAGAAGGGGAATTTCTTTCCATTAGGACCTGAGGTAGCAAGTCCTTATCCAGGGTTACTTCCCTTCTTCTTTTAATGCCACTAGGACCAGCTTGAGAGTCACTGGACCTCTGTCGCACAACAAATCTGTCCATAGAGCTCTGTACCTCCCGTTCCTTTAAGACTTCCTAAAATGGGCCATAACATTGTCATTGTACAGGTTGCCAACATGGCTTGCAGTAGCGTGTCAGGGTGATTTTCATCCGTAAAGGTTTGCAGTTCAACCCACTTTGCACACATTTCCTTAATCTCTTTTTTCAGTTCCATACTAATTCTTGCCCTTTTTACCACAGGGATGGCACTAGAAGCTTTCTTGGGGTCCATGGTGACTTATTTTGCAGTTACAAGCACTAAAAACACTGGGATAATGTGAAATGTACCGAATGTATGCGTAGATGCGACTGCACTGGCTGGCTTGTAAACACTGGTGCTGAGGCCACACTTGGGACGCGTCCCGGACAAATCACGTAAGCCGAGTTTTTTATCGTGAGGTGAGGCAAAATTTTTGCATTCAAATGCTTCATATGGCGGATTTAATGTACAGTAACGTGATGCGTTCGTAAGGCAGGGGTCCACTAATGCATCTAAATGGTTTAGAAAACCATAATTGTCTTTATGGAGAATAATTTTCTGTTTTTCCTGCAACACAGAATGGAATCTCTACTAAAATGCAAGCTAGTCAACTCACTACTGCACCCAGTATTTTAAAATAATTGTCAAATTAATGCAGTTAAATATCAGAATAATTATTTATGGTAAATTGCAAAGACATTGATTATGTGTGAATGATGATGAAAGTGTTTCATTGATTTTTGGGTCGCTCTACCTTGGTGGGAGATGGCCGATGTGTTGAAAAAAAAAAAGAGTGAATTATGCTGCACCCTGTACATTCACATTATTTCTTAACTGTTGCATAAACTAGGCATTAAGGACAGTACTACACTTTGTCAATTTCTCATTCATTCCTACTAAAATCTGCTCCAGTGCCACTTCTTTGTATTATTTTCTTTCAAGTGCCATTCAGTACATACAGCCCTGGCCTTACTGAATGTGTGTATAATTTTTTCTCCTTTTCTGTTTTTATCTACCAGTACAGTGGAACTCCGGTTTTCATACAGTTCAAATATCGTACAATTCAGATTTAGAACACTTTTTTGGGCGAAAGTTTGGTCCAGATTTCATACCTCCATCTGGAAGTCGTATGTATCAGGATGCTGCCACTCTGATGCATACATTTCTTAGTCTGGCTCTGTCACTGGTTGAGTGAGCATTCATCCAAAACATTTCACAATTTTTGTGCTTGTTTATTGATTGTGACTGCGAAATAAGCCACCATGGGCCCAAAGAAAGTTCTTAGTGCCAGCCCTTTGGTAAAGAATGTAAGAAACATGATAAAATTCAAGAAAGAGATTGTAGAAAAATCCGAAAGTGGTGTACGTTTAGCCGAGCTTGCCAGGATGTATGGGAAGTCGAAATCAACAATCTGTTCCATCCTGGCAAAGAAAGTAGAACTCAAGGAAGCTAAAGTTGCAAAAGGGGTAAATCTTTCTTTCAACACACCAGCTGTATCCCACTGAAAAGGGGTAAATATGCTAATGAAATAGAGTTCACAAACAATCAAAGATGTGGAGAAGTTGTTGTTGGTGTGGATCAATGAAAAACAGTTAGCGGGAGATAATGTTGTGAAGTCAGTCATTTGCGAAAAGGCAAGGCAGTTGCATGCAGATCTTGTAAAGAAAAATCCTGGAATGAGTGCTGCTGTTAGTGAATTTAAGGCCAGCAAAGGCTGGTTCAACAGATTCAAGAAGAGTAGTGGCATACACAGTGTTGTAAGGCATGGCTAGAAAGCAAGTTCAGACAAATGTGCGGCAGAAGAATTCGTTGATGAATTCAAGGAGTACATATAGGCTGAAGGATTCCTCCCCCAACAAGTGTTCAGTTGTGACGAAACAGGCCTCTTTTGGAAGAAAATGCCAAAGAGGACCTACATCACACAGAAAGAAAAGGCACTGCCAGGACACAAGCCTATGAAGGATAGGCTAACTCTTTTGTTCTGTGGTAATGCTAGTGGGGATTTCAAAGTGAAGCCTTTACTGGTGTATCACTCTGAAAATACCAGTGTGTTCAAGAAAAACAGTGTTGTCAAGAGTAAATTGTGTGTGATGTGGAAAGCTAATAATAAGGCATGGGTCACAAGGCAAATTTTCATTGATTTGGTCCATGAAGTGTTTGGCCCAAGTGTGAAAAAATACCTCCTGGAAAATAAATTGCCACTCAAGTGCCTCTTGATACTGGACAGTGCTCCTGCTCATCCTCCAGACTTGGAAGACCAGTTGTTATGGGACTTCAGTTTTATAACGGTGAAGTTCTTGCCTCCGAACACCACTCCTCTCATCCGGCCAATGGACCAGCAGGTCATTTCTAACTTCAAAAAACTCTACACAAAAGCAATGTTTCAAAGGTGCTTTGAAGTGACCTCACACACTGAATTGACCCTATGAGAGTTCTGAAAGGATCACTTCAGTATCCTCCATTCCATAAGCCTTATATGTAAGGCTTGGCAGGAAGTGACTTCCAGGACTTTGAACTCTGCTTGGAGAAAATTGGAGTGGTTAGCTCTTCACTGTGGTTGTCCACCAACTCTTCCACATCCTGGCCACTCACATCCAACCCCATGGACTTCCCTAAAGCTACAATAAATTCCACAACAGGCATAGGGTTGTCAGGTTTGAGTGGGGAAGTACTCTGGCTGGTGTATGTGAGGGAAGTACCCTGGCTGGTGTATGGGGAAGTACCCTGGCTGTTGTGTGGGGAAGTGCCCTGGCTGGTGTGGGGAAGTACCCTGTCTGGTGTGTGGGGAAGTGCTCTGGCTGGTGTGGGGAAGTACCCTGTCTAGTGTGTGGGGAAGTACCCTGGCTGGTGTGTGTGGGGAAGTACCCTGGCTGGTGTGTGTGAGGAAGTACCCTGACTGGTGTGTTCTTTCTTAAATTCTATCATGTTTCTCACATTCTTTATCAAAGGGCTGGCACAAGCAGCTTTCTTTGGGCCCTTGGTGGCTTATTTAGCAGTCATACACAATAAACAAGCACAAAAAACAATGTATTATTACGATATGTTTCGTATTACCTCGCAGCGTAATGTTTACTCACCGAGAAACAATGCCACACTGACTCTGAATGCATCTGTGGGAAGCTTTATGCGTGCGGGGACACTGGGACATGTTCATTTATGACCGCCGAAATCCAAGGGAAATCACGAAAACCAAGGCTATATTTTGACGAAAAATGTTGCCGATAACCAAAATTCATGAAAACTGACTCAGGAAAACCAAGGGTCCACTGTAATAGCTTTAGTTTTTTCAAAAACATGCAATTTTGAGCTCCTCAACTTTAATCATAAATTATTTCATTTTAGAAAACAATTTCACTTCCTCTGCCTTTGTCTGTCCCTTCCTCTTTCCCCATTTAACCTTTTCAGGGTCGACAGCCCCTCTCCGAGACTTGTTCTCAGGGTTGCCAAATTTAAAAAAAAAAAAAAATTTTATGAAAAGATAGAGAATCTTTTCCCGATCATAATGATACCAAAAGTATGAAATTTGATGGAAAACTTACGGAATTATGCTCTCGCGAAGTTAGCGGTCTCAACGATGTTTACGCATCGGGGATTTTGCCCACTTTGAGCCCTATTTTTAGCCAATTCCAGTGTACTAGTCAACAAAAATCATAACTATTTCACTAGAACTCCATTTTTTCTATCTAATGAGTACAAGAAACCACCCATTTACCAATTTCAACTATCCAATAAAGTGGTCAGAATTTAGCAACTTTTGCGAATTTCACACAAATTTCAAAAGATGCCAATTTCCAAATAGGGTCCAGAATAAACAAGAAAGACATTCCTGGCACTAAAATAACATTTCCTCTGTTCATTAGTCACGTCCCCACGCACCTCTTACATTCTTTTGCTTTCCGCTTTGAATTTTTATTCTCACAAGAATTGAAGATTTACTGTTATGCAGACTACTGCATTAGTGTAGAAAAGGTATAAATGATATCGGCGCACTTGTGAAAGAATATTAGACTCACCAGTTGACGTGTATTGGATGCTTAGCATGATTTATTTACTTTTGAACTTTGGTAAAAATCAAACATTTCTGCTACTTTGAGCTCAATTTCAAGGTACTTTTCATTGTAAAACCAGTCAAAATCATCTCAATTTCTGTAATATGTTTTCCTTTCTATAAAGTGAGACCAGGAAAACTAGAATACAACAATAAATACCATACGAAAATACAGTGCAAAGTCGCTGTTTTAATCCAAAAACACGGTCAAAGTTTTTTTTTTTCTCATTACACACTGTGTGCTGCAGGATTTTTTTTATACTTCACACACTGACCACATAGACCCATTCTTTCATATGTAGGCCTACCAACTTTCTCTCACTAGATTTGAGGGCGCTAGAATTTAGGCATACTAGTACGTCAAAAACCCTGGTGCGTAAGCCGTACTAGTATGGCCAAAGCCCTGAAAGGGTTAAAACATATAATTAAAGTATCTTGAACTTTAAGGAAAATAAGATGTGACTGGTAAATGTTTTTAAAAGCGGCTAGCATATGTGATAGTGTTTAACATGCACCCCAATACCCATCCTGTTAGCAGTAGTCAAAAAAGGATTACAGAAGCACATAATGGGTCCAAGGATTGAGCCCCAACATTTTATTAGATAACCAAGTTACAGTAGTAAAGAACAATTTCAAAATTATTTTTCATTAATAGCAATGAACTCATTACTCAATTTTTGTATTCAGTCACATAAACATCATAGTGCTCTGACCCCTGTGACATGGTTGGCCAAAATGCGCATAAACATCAATTTTTTTTTTAATTTCATGGCCCTGCCCTTTCACCAACTCTTGATAAAATAAAACAATATAAACTGCCTTCAAAAAAGAGTATTATAGTTTATTGAACAGTTAATCAAGTACAGAAAAAACTTATGAGGTAATTTTAGAAGTACATAGCAAATATTACATGAATATCATACGGTTTATTTTATTTTAGGTTCCATCTCGTCGTCTGTCACTAGCTAACAGAGGATCTGTAACATCTGATACAGAATCTGATGAGCCCATACATGATGGTCCTTCTGTGTTGTCTGATTTTGGATTAGATCAGATGTTGGGTATGTTCAGTTCTACTTTTAGAAAAGTCATAAAACAAAATGTGATATTCTAAAATAATTTATTGATATTTTTATATATTTTTTATACAATAAGTATACATAAGACAAGCCTTCCATAGATACTGCTATTTAGTATGGATATTATTTCAGTTTGTATATGGCACAATGTTAAGCAGAGAACACTCATACTGTTACTCTTTTTGAAGCCACTTTTTCTCCAGGAAATTACGTGTATATAGAAAGTCGATTGCTATGCAGAGCATTTCGGGCAAATTAGGTCAGTTTTGTCCCAGGATGCAATGCACACCAGTCGACTAACTCCCAGGTTCCCATTTTACTGATGGGGAACATAGATAACAAGTGTAAAGGAACATGCCCAGTGTTTCTACCCTTGCTGGGAATTGAACCCAGACCTTTGCCATGTGAAGTGAGAGCTTTAGCCACCAGGCCACAGGGCCTGGTGAACAGCACCAATCTTCGGTGGATGAGGCATCATATGAAGTGTTGAAATGTTTCATGGGTTTAGGCTGTGTAGCTGCAGATTTTGTTTTGTTCTATGGAATAACTAGAAAATACATCATCTGGTCAGCTTTAAACTTTTAGTGCTGATGTGTTTTACTCAAAGGAAACAGTCAGGAAGTTGGGTTGTATAAGTTATAATGTGCCAATTATATTAATCAAATTAGTTTCTGTAGAATAATTGGAGAATGTCTCTTCTGATCAGAATAAGTCAGTGTTTGACTTTATTTGATTATCCTACATGAAATCACGATAACACTTTTATTTGTTTATAGCATCTGCATACCCTCAAGACTATTGTTAAAAATTTGTATGTTATGTGCATAAGGCTTACATAAAACTTACTTGCATGCAAAAGTTTCTGAGTGTCACACCTAATTAGCTTCAACCCTTCCATGCTAATAACTTGAATTTCAAATTTCTGAGTGACTTAGCTTAATGTGATTGTGTATTTGAGGATATTCATCTCACTGGTCTCTGAAAGATCTGAAAAAAATTTGGGCTGTATGTCCTAATTTACAATTTTTACTGAAGAAATTTGGATACTAATTTCCTATATGATGATTCTTGAATGTCTCTTATGATTCCCTTCAAATCTTCAAAGTTTTAATACTGAACTGCATTATCAGCTTATGCCATGCTTTGCACTATTCCAGTCACATGCATTGAGGCATAAGGAATTGGGGTCAGAGAATACGGGGGTACCTCTTCTTGGATTGTGCAACTACTAAAATACTGTACATCTAGTTATTATATTCACGGGGAAGCGCTAAAGCTGTAGGGGTCACAGAGCTCCTGGGGTTTGAGAGATAATACAGTTGAATCAAAGGAAAGGGAGGATAGCTCCACTTCCCTGGTTCAAGAGCTTTTCACTGGCATCAAGGCATGGAAGTTGCTTTAATTCCTGACACAAGTATTATTAGGAATGACCAAGGCTTCAAAACTGAAACATGTCCATTAAAAGATACCCTCAAGTGTATGCACTCATTTTCGTTAATCCATATTGTCTGTATCATTATAATTTATAACTTCTCAATCATTGCCTTAATTCCTCCCCATCCATTAACAATTTCACAGATTTAGTCTCTTCTCTTTGAACCTTCATTATTTATTTATAGGAACACTTTACTGTTTTTTAAAGACTGTATTCCACATAATTAAGATGAAATTCACTGCTTTTACTATGTAGAGATTAGAATTTAGAGTTTTTTAATTTTAGGGTGTGTTCTATACATGTGAATTGCTGTTTATTTTGCTCACTTGAGGAAATATAAACATTAACATTACTTGCATCAAATATATTAACAGCAAAGATAAGCTCTGTGAACAAGTCATCTCGTGGTCTCCAGTCTCGACATCGCCCTTCTCAAGAAAATGTTCTCCCAATAAGAACTACTGCAAGTCTAGAACAAGGCTTGAACAATATTGCAAATCCACTGAACACATTGTCTAATGGTAAGACTTTTTCATTGTTTCTTTTTGCTTTACAGGCTGCATATATCATAAAACATATAAAGCATAGTTATGGTAGAAATACAGTGGGACAAGATATATTACCAGTCATGTTTGGGACTTTAAGGAAGGCTGGAAGAAGAACAGGGACAGAGCTGGATGAATGCTGGTTTTGTTTGACATAGCATATTGCTGTCTCATTTTTGTTAGGGAGATCAGGTGGTTTTTAACCCTTTCAGGGTTTCTGACATACTAGTATGGCTTATGCACCAGGGTTTTTGACGTATAGTATGCCTAAATTCTAGCGCCCTCAAATCTAGCGAGAGAAAGCTGGTAGGCCTACATATGAAAGAATGGGTCTATGTGGTCAGTGTGCTCAGTATAAAAAAAATCCTGCAGCACACAGTGCATAATGAGAAAAAAAAACTTTGACAGTGTTTTTGGTTTAAAACAGCGACTTTGCACTGTATTTTTGTATGGTATTTATGATGGTATTCTAGTTTTCCTGGTCTCATTTTATAGAATGGAAGACATATTACAGAAATTGAGACAATTTTGATTGGTTTTACAATGAAAAGTACCTTGAAGTTGAGCTCAAAGTAGCAGAAATCTTCGATTTTTCCTAAAGTTCAAAAGTAAACAAATCATGCAACGCGTCCAATACACGTCAACTGGTGAGTCTAATATTCTTTCACAAGTGCGCTGATATTATTTATAACTTTTCTACACTAATGCAGTAGTCTGCAGAACAGTAAATCTATTTTTTGTGAGAATAAAAATTCAAAGTGGAAAGCAAAAGAATGTAAGAGGGGTGTGGGGATGTGACTAATGAACAGAGGAAATGTTATTTTAGTGCCAGGAATGTCTTTCTTGTTTATTCTGGACTCTATTTGGAAATTGACATCTTTTGAAATTTGTGTGAAATTGGCAAAATTGCTAAATTCTGACCACTTTATTGGATAGTTGAAATTGGTAAATGGGTGGTTTCTTGTACTCATTCGATAGAAAAAATGGAGTTCTAGTGAAATAGTTATGATTTTTGTTGACTAGTACACTGGAATTGGCCAAAAATAGGGCTCAAAGTGGGCAAAATCGCCGATGCGTAAATTTTGTCGAGACCACTAACTTTGCGAGAGCATAATTCCGTAAGTTTTCCATCAAATTTCATACTTTTGGTGTCATTATGATTGGGAAAAGATTCTCTATTTTTTCACATGATTTTTTTTTTTTTTCTTGAAAATTTGTCGACCCAGAGAACAAGTCTGGGAGAGGGCCTGTCGACCCTGAAAGGGCTAACAGTAGCTCTGCATCAATTGGCAGATAGGGAGGCCTTTTGATGCTTCAGGCAGGGAGTTCAGTTCTTAGGGTCTTTTATGCACAATGAGTTTTTACACAGGTTGAATTGTACACTGGGGATGTCAAAGAGGTTTCTGTGTTTTGTATTATGCCTGTGTGTTCTGTTGCAGCTATCTAGGAAAACTTTCAGAGAAGGGTTTATATTGGAATTGATTGTCCTACATAAACAGAAGGCACAGTGGTATGAATGCATAGTGTGTATATTAAGTAAGTTCAAGCTTTTGAAGAAGAGGAAAGGGGAAATGTGTTGTCTGGCAGTCGATACAGCAGCTTTTTGTTTTTTATTGGGTTATTAATGGTTATAGGTGATTTTGTGTGGTAGATCCCTAGGCACCAATACCATACATTAGGTAAGAATAGATTAGAGAGAAGTACAGTGTAAGTATTGCTGTTCAAGGTACATGGCATTGTATCTTGGAGAGAATGCCTACTGTTTTGGAGATCATGGTTATGTGCTGGATATGGGTACTGAAATTCAAGCTGTTGACCTGAATTCATAAAAAAATGTTTTCAGACTTTCACTCGGTAAAATTCATCTATATATTTGACCCATAAACATGAAAGAACAACTGGCACAGAAACATTTTTGGTGCCAGTTTAAGAACTTCAGAAATGTTTTGTGTTATCAGTGTACAGAAATATCACTATTGGATAATATAGAATCACACTAAATATATTACTTACATTTTTTGTATATTTCCCATGGTAAATACTGTATTCCATGCACTTTGTAATAAACTGATCACTTTATCTGTTTATATATCCTGGATATTCTTTTTTCAGACAACATAGCAAAGCACATAACAGAGCTTTATAATAAATTTTCAGGATATAACACAGTGACACCCAGTGCACCACTTAGGCTTGAACACTTAAGTACTGGCTCAGTTCCTAATCTTGGACCAGAGACTGTTGACAGGATTGCAAGTATTAATCAGTATTTGCAACAGAGATGGACTAACTACTTTGGAGGTATGTTATACAAGTTAAATCTATATATGGTTTAGTCAGATGCATGTTCTGGAGGTGGGAAGTATAGTTCTTGCATTTCTAAAGATGGGTGGAATGTTGTGGTTCAGAAGGTTGTTTGGATCATAACATCCTTATATTTATGGTAAGACAATTATCTAATAATTAAGGAGGAAAGTGATTCCTTCTTTGGATCACCCTACCTTGGTAGGAAATGGCAGGTGTGTAAAACATAACAGTTACAGTTACAGTGGTACCTTGAATTTCGAACAGCTCCCAACTCAAACAATTATGTAAGTGTATTTTTTAAGTGCTTTTGTAAGTGTATTTTTGGGGGTCTGAAACGGACTAATCTAATTTACATTATTCCTTATGGGAACAGATTCGTTCGGTAACGGCACTCGAACAGCCTTCTGGAATGAATTTCGGCCAAAATTCAAGCTACCACTGTACTTTTACATAAAGAATAAAGATTTTATTTCTTTGCAAAGGTTCTCATGTTACAATATTATGAACCATGACTGCTTTACAAAATGTTTAACAGGCTAATCTAAGTCAGTGTTTCAAGGAAATTAAAGGGAACAAGTATTACCAGAGCTTGATGTTGCTATTTGATAACTGAAGCTAAGCAATTTTAGCCTGTTAATTATGAATTTCTATCTTTTACAGAACTTTCTGTGCCTCTTGGTGGTAAGGCTGGATGGCCAGCTCAGATTATTGGGCAGTCTACCTTGTTAGTTAATAAAAACTCTGCAGCTGATTTTCTGACTAGTAACAACCAGTCTTCCAACACTCTTGGGAAATCTGCACCGACTTTACAAAGTCATAAGGAAGATGTAAACATCTCCCAAAAGATTGATAACCTTCGTGCTTGGTTAGACAGTGCTCAAACTACTACTGCTGTTCTCATTAATAAATAAATTGTTTATTTCTGGCTTGCTCCAAAGATATTCTGTGTAGTATTATTATTATTATATTCAATGGGAAGTACTCAGCCCGTAAGTGGTCATACAGTGCCTGGGGAATGGAGGTTTGATCCAAGGAAAGGAAGAGTAGCTCCAAATCCTTTGATCAAGATCCCTTGCTGTATTAAAGTCTTCCATTCTATTGTTCTTGTTAAACAAACATAGAAATTATTTATACAATGAATACTGTGTGTTAATGCAGTCTTTTCATAACTTTTAATTCTGTAAAATTTAATACAGTGTATACTTGTCTGGTGTAAAGTACGGTTTGTGTTATATTTATTAAACTGCTATGAAAGGGCTGCTGCATGCCGTGTGTGGGATTTAGTGTTAATAATGTCTAGGTGTTATTTGTCATTTTAATCTTTGTTTTATTAGTACTCTAACTGAAGTTGACTTTCTTCAAGAAAGTGCCATGTTTAGAGATTCATGCCTCAAAAGCTTTAGTTTGCTTTGAAGCATTATTATTATTTACATACAAAAATATTACAGATATTTAAATCAATGAGTTTCATATGTTAGGACAATCCTGGAATCAGTTTAATGAAAGGTATTTCATTGTTTTAGAATATAACATGAGAGCAAATATGTACCAGTATCAACATTGAGTTAGCAGTTTAGAATATTAGTTTTTTCTTATTTATATAGTTGTTTATGATAAAAATAATCTAAAATATAATTTTATACGTATATTTTTATTTATTATGTATATCACATACTATATGATTTATATTGCACCAATGAAAAACTTAATCTTACATGACTGCCATGTAAAAGGCTATAAATTTTTTAGGGTCTAATTATTCAGGGGAATTTTTTTTGTAGGTTGAAATTCAAATATTTTGTGTGCTTACTGCATATTAGGTACCTACTTCTTTGGCACATCAAAAAGCAGAATCACACACTGTAATTGTAACCATATATTGAGTGTGCCTATATAAAAATTACATCCACACCATATGTATTGAGACAGTATCAATCTACCATACTGCAGGGTAATAGCCAGTGCAGTTCTGTATTTTAATTCTTAGATATTAAGTGAGGGAAAAGTGATTAGTTGACCCATAAATGTGATCAACCAATATTCATGTGCACTGTATGGTAAGGAGTCTACAGAATGTGTTTTCATATAAATTTTCTAGAGAGATATCTGGATTATACCTGGAGAGGATTTCAGGGGTCAATGCCCCCATGGTCCTGTCTGAGGCCAGGTAATTTATGTAATGTATTTAACAGTGGGAATGTTTGCACTGGAGATACATTGCAGAAATCTTTGATTCAGTTATATCTCATATTTGGAATTCTATTTTACAACATTCCTTTGACTAAACTTCACTTGCAATAATGTTTGAAATTTTTCGTTTTCTGAAAAATTTAAATTTTAATTAAAATTATTACTTTTTCAAAGTTCGAATGGTGTCTGATTTTTATTACTATTTAGAATTTTCTAAAAGTTAGGCTCCCTGGTATGCATTATTCTGAGTAAGACAGATTTTTACTGACCATATTTTTTTCTGAATTAACCCTTTCAGGGTCCAAGGCCAAAATCTGAAGTGGCCCAGTGTCCAAGAATTTAAAAAAAAAAAATTTGTTATTTTTTCTTATGAAATGGTAGAGAATCTTTTTGTGAAGGTGATAAAACAAAAAGTACAAAATTTGATGGAAAATTGACGAAATTATGCTCTCGCGAATTTTGATGTGTCAGCGATATTTATGAATCGGCAATTTTGCCGACTTTGGCTCGCATTTCAGGCCAATTACATTATTCCAGTTACCCAAATTCTTAGCTATTTCACTAGTATTACTCCTATTCTATCGATTGAGCACAAGAAATCGCCAAGTCAACTGTTTCAACTACAAAATGAAGTGATCGGAAATTGGTAATTTGGCCAATTTAACACAAAGTTCAAAATATTCCAATTTCAAAATAGGGTCCAGAATAAACAATGTAGGTATTCCTGGAACTAAACTAACATTTCCTCTGTTCATTAGTTACGTTTTGAGGCTTTACAAATAAATTCCATTTTGATTTTTTATTCACATAATGAATTTTTATTCACACCAAAAAATAGAAGATTTACTGTTATGCAATATTGTAATAATTGTATAAATATCATCACCACATTTGTGAATGTATATTAGACCGACCAGCTGGTGTGTATTAGACGTGTGAGGTCGTTTGTTTACTCTTGAACATCGGCAAAAATTAACATTTCTGCTACTTTGAGCTCAGTTTCAAGCCATTTCCAGTGCTAAAACCAATCAAAATCATCTCTATTTCTGTAATATGTCTTACATTCTATCAAATGAGACCAAGAAATCGCAAATACAACTATAAAAAACATATGAAAAAACACTGCAAATTCGCTGTTTTAATCGAAAATCACGGTCTCAGTTTTTTTCTCTCATTATACACAGTGTGCTGCAGGATTTGTTTTATGTGGTGCACACATACCACATAGATGTATTCTCTCATATCTAGGCCCAAATTTACCACTCACAGTTTATCAGAGTGAGCTGAGCTCATGGCGTAGATCTACGGTTTGGACCCTGAACATAAAGCCATAGATCTATGGGACAGACCCTGAAAGGGTTAATGTTTAATTTTAATTTGTATTTTAAGGAATATCATTGTTATGAATTATTCTCAAAAAGTTTTCTGTGTTCAAATTATAACTTCCTCAAAAACACAGCTTGTTAAATGTTTGTGTTCTTCCATACCAGCTACACTTAATCGTATTGTAACTATATTTTCCAATTAACCAATTTATTTCATGTGCGATGTTGATCAAAAGTACTCTAGTCATATATGCACTTTAAGAAAAAGATTAAATATTTATACATTTCTTTATTTTAAGCAATCTCTTGACAGATTATATTATTTTAATATAATATCTAATGAAATATAAGGTCTCCCAAGCATTATTATTATATGCTTGACAGGATGACATTATTTTCCTTATCTTTATAAGGCCTCAGATTAAGGCTGATCCTTTTGGTCTTATTTTAATGCTCATTTCATATCTTTTGCTGTATGTGATGAGTAATGTAACTGATAAGAGCAAGTACATGTAGCCAGTATGATGACATAGTGTTCATTTCTTGTATCTACAATACTTCAGTGTTGTAAAAATGCACTGAAGTATAATGACTTTGATTAAAATAAGTTAACTAGTTTTTTGTAAAAGTAATACTCTTAAGATTTACAGCCTTTATTTTAGGAAAATAATTAACCTGAATATGTAGGATTTTTATTAGCATTTCAGTCCTGGAGTGGGCATTAGGAAGTGATATTAACATTCAGTTAAGCTTCATGCAAGCAAAAATTTATCAAATTATAAAAAAATATTTGTTATGCAGAACAGGAAGTGAAGGTACATGTGTTGGTGTTTACCCCACGAGGTTCCAACACAAAGTCAGTGTACACTTTCAGTCCATGTTCTCTTCCCACAGCAGATCTAAGAGGCCCAGTCTGCCAACTGAATGTTAAACTGAACATTTGGTAGGAGGGGAGGTTATTGCAGTTCGGAGGATAATTTGAATTGTGCTGTCAACGTAATTCTGGCAAGATAGCAATTGAATGAATGATGGCGCATGTACTTCCTTGTCTTTAGGTCACCCTGCCTTAGTGGGAGATTGCTGGTGGGGTAAAAAAGAAAAGAAAAACTATTTATCTTTTTTTTATGTAAATACAAATAGTGTATCTTTATATCATTGGTAATGATGACTGAACTGAAGATTTATTTAACACAAGTACCTTGAGCCTTAAGCCCCTAGCTTATAAATTGCAAGTAGTATTTTAACCAGTGAATTTCATTTATTCTTTGGAAAATTCAGAAAACAATAATAAAAGGTATTTATTTTTTTTTTTTATATTGTGAAATAAGATGTACTGCCTCTTTTGATGAGTAAACTAATTTGATTATAAGATTTCTTAAATATTTACTTTGCACTAAAAATCTGATGCATGTTTATTGGAATATTTTTCCCTGTTAATTCATATCATAACAAAATTATATTATAGTATTGTTGAGGTTTAATGAATGTGTTTCTTGGCACCTTAGAACAGCTATAGCATAACTTAACTATATAATGTAATGCTGTAATATGTATATTATATAAATGTATGATTCTTGTTGTACATATTTTTGTAAGAGTACAAATAAAAGAATTTTTTACAACTTTTTTTATCTCTTGCCAGTTAACCCCTTAACTGTCGAAACGTACATCTACGTTTTATTGCCCAGCACTTTGAATATTTTTATTTTTTTTAATTAAAAAGGGCAGTTTTCTCTGTGTTATAAGACAAAAAATTTTTTTTTAGAGATATAAGGCCATGAAGTTGGTGCTGGATGCTCATCTGACGGCAGCATGGAGTCCTGCCGCTTGTAGAAGTGTTTCTGATATACCTTTTTTCTCTTTTTTTTTTTTTTTTTTTTAACTTGAGTCCTGGAAATGGGAAGTACAATGCCTGCACTTTAAAGGAGGGGTTTGGGATATTGGCAGTTTGGAGGGATATGTTGTGTATCTTTATATGTTTATGCTTCTAGACTGTTGTATTCTGAGCACCTCTGCAAAAACAGTGATAATGTGCGAGTGTGGTGAAAGTGTTGAATGATGATGAAAGTATTTTCTTTTTGGGGATTTTCTTTCTTTTTTGGGTCACCCTGCCTCGGTGGGAGACGGCCGACTTGTTGAAAAAAAAAAAAAAAAAAAAAAAAAATTTTTGTGTTGTGATACACACTGACAGGTGAAAATTTTCACCTGCCTTGGTCACATACAATTGTCTAGAAATATATACAAAGTATTTATAGCTCTCAGCAATGTTTTAGACATGCTGCAGTATATATGAAACTCCTTGAAGCATGGGGCCAATATATCTGAAATACGAAGGGAGGCACTAATCAATGAAACTGCAAATATCGAACTTAATCTGCAGGAATCTAATAGGAGACAAGAATCACAGGAAGAACTTAAAGCCATAAATGGAACTACTGTACAACTATGATAATTTCTTTAGTGATAAGTAGTCAGTAAGCCATTGAATTAAGTCAGCCCATAGTGCAAAGGTATAATAGAGGCTCTCTTTGCACTGCAACTCATCATTGTAAAAATATAATCTTAATGTACTACTTGCAAAGAAATAAATGAATCTGAATCTAAAGGACATTAAAAAGAAAAAAAAAACTTCTTCTCTTTTGCCAAATCTAAGGAAAAAACAACATCCAGTATTGGGCCCCTGCTTACCTAGAGTTTACCTGGAGAGAGTTCCAGGGGTCGATGCCCCCGCGGCCCAATCTTTGACCAGGGCTCATGGCGGATCAGAGCCTGATCAACCAGGATGTTACTGCTGGCTGCACACAGTCCAATGTACGAACCACAGCCCGGCTGGTCAGGTACCAACTAGGTGCTTGTCCAGTGCCTGCTTGAAGACAGCCAGGGGTCTATTGGTAATCCCCCTTATGTATGCTGGGAGGCAGTTGAACAGTCTTGGGCCCCTGACACTTACTGTGTCGTCTTTTAACGTGCTTGTGGCACCCCTGCTTTTCATTGGGAGGATGTTGCATTGTCTGCCGAGTCTTTTGCTTTCGTAGGGAGTGATTTTCGTGCGCAAGTTTGGTACTAGCCCCTCTAGGATTTTCCAGGTGTATATAATCATGTATCTCTCCCGCCTGCATTCCAGGGAGTACAGGTTCAGGAACTTAAGCGTTCCCAGTAACTGAGGTGTTTTATCTCAGTTATGCATGCCGTGAAGGTTCTCTGTACATTTTCTAGGTCAGCAATTTCACCTGCCTTGAAAGATGCTGTTAGTGTGCAGCAATATTCCAGCCTAGATAGAACAAGCGACCTGAATAGTGTCATCATGGGCTTGGCATCCCTAGTTTTGAAGGTTCTCATTATCCATCCTGTCATTTTTCTAGCAGATGTGATTGATACAATGTTGTGGTCCTTGAAGGTGAGATCCTCCAACATGATCACTCCCAGGTCTTTGACGTTAGTTTTTCGCTCTATTTTGTGGAAGGAATTTGTTTTGTACTCTGATGAAATTTTAATTTCCTCACGTTTACCATATCGGAGCAATTGAAATTTCTCATTGTTGAACTTCATACTGTTTTCTGCAGCCCAACGAAAGATTTGGTTGATGTCCGCCTGAAGCCTTGCAGTGTCTACAATGGAAGACATTGTCATGCAGATTCGGGTGTTATCTGCAAAGGAAGACACGGTGCTTTGGTTTACATCCCTATCTAAGTCAGATATGAGGAACAAGATGGGAGCGAGTACTGTGCCTTGCGGAACAGAGCTTTTCACCGTAGCCGCCTCAGACTACTACTCTTTGTGTTCTATTTGTCAGGAGATAATAGATCCATCCACCAACTTTTCCTGTTATTCCTTTAGCATGTATTTTGTGTGCAATTATGCCATGGTCACACTTGTCAAAGGCTTTTGCAAAGTCTGCATTCTTTTTGTCTTCTAGTGCATCTAGGACCTTGTCGTAGTGATCCAGTAGTTGGAACAGACAGGAGCAACCTGCTTTAAACCCATGCTGCCCTGGGTTGTGTAACTAATGGGTATTTAGAGGAGTGGCGATCTTGCTTCTTAGAACCCTTTCAAAGATTTTTATGATATATGATGTTAGCGCTATCGGTCTGTAGTTCTTTGCTATTGCTTTACTGCCCCCTTTGTGGAGTGGTGCTATGTCTGTTGTTTTTAGTAACTGTGGGACGACCCCTGTGTCATATGCTCCCTCTCCATACGATGTTAAAAGCATGTGATAAGGGCTTCTTGCAGTTCTTGATGAACACGAAGTTCCATGAGTCTGGCCCTGGGGCAGAGTGCATGTGCATGTCATTTATCGCCAGTTCAAAGTCATTTGGCATCAGTATAACGTCAGATAGGCGTGTGTTTACCAAATTCTGTGGCTCTCTCATTAAAAAATCATCTAGATCTTCGACTCTCAGTCTGGTTAGCGGCTTGCTAAAAACTGAGTCATATTGGGACTTGAGTAGCTCACTCATTTCCTTGCTGTCATCTCTGTAGGACCCACCTTGTTTAAGTAGAGGCCCAATTCTGGATGTTGTTCTCGACTTTGATTTACTTGGTCCCACTTTATGTTCTTGTTATTGAAGATGAATTTGGTGAAGGCTCTCTTGTGACTGATCACATTTTGTCAGTCTGGGGCTCAGCGCATACATGTCTGAACCTCGATTATGTTGTGATCTGTGTATATTGTTTTTGATATGGTGACATTTCGTATCAGATCATCATTGTTAGTGAAGATGAAGTCCAGCATATTTTCCAATGTAGTAGGCTCTATTATTTGCTGGTTTAAGAGATTTAAAAGCTCGTATGTGTGTGAGTTCTCATCTGAGCTGCCTCCTGGTGTTATCACTGCAACATTATTTGCTATATTCCTCCATTTTAGGTACCTTAAGTTGAAATCCCCCAGGAGCAAGATGTTTGGGGTAGGAGCTAGAAGACTTTCCAGACAGTGGTCAATTTTCAATAGCTGTTCCAGGAATTGTTGGGATGTTGCATCTGAAGGCTTGTAGACTACCATAATGACTAGGTTTTGGTTCTCGATCTTTACTGCTAAAACTTCCACTACATCATTTGAGGCATTAAGCAGTTCTGTGCAAATAAATGGCTCTGTGATATACAGGCCAACCCCCTCCCCTTCCCACTTTTGCCTGTTCACTCTGTCGCATCTGTATAGGTTGTAACCTGGGATCCGTATTTCGTTGTCCAAGTGATCCTTTATGTGGGTCTCAGTGAAAGCCACTAACATTGCATTTGCCTCTGCAAGCAGTCCACGGATGAAAGGTATTTTGTTGTTCATTGCTGGCTTTAGACCCTGTATATTTGCAAAGAAGAATGTCATCGGACTGGTGGCATTAGTGGTACTGGGGAGGGACTTTTTTTTTCCGGCACTAATGTCCGTATCTGTTGGTTTGGAGTGGAGGCCATCAACTGTGATTCCACTCCAGAAATGACTGGATTTGGTGTACGATTTATGCCATTTCCTGCCAGTTTTTTTTCCTTCCTGGCACTGAAAAACCTCTCTCTCTTGAGTGGCTGTGGCTACCCTGGTTTTCCCATGATCTGGATATTTTGTATCTTTTTGTCCCCTTTAGATGGTGTGCCTGACAATATAAGTTATAGCACAGTCTTTCCTGTACTGAAGAGGGACACATTTCAGGGTGAAAAAGCTTACAGGAAGGGAGGTTGCATTTTCCTGTTGTCATATGGGCATGGCATTTTCTAGGGTGGTCAAAGTTGCACGTCCCATCTGTTTTTCCAGATATTCCATGCCTGCAGATACCAAGTGCATAATATTTGCACAGGCTTGGTTTCTGTTTGCCTTGGATTTTTGTGACTGTATTCTCATTTGGTGCATGTTTTCCTGTTTCATTCCTATCCTCACTAGTACTAAGAATGGAGCTCTCACCAGTTGTGTCTGGTAATTTATCTTTGCTATTACTAGTGGAGTCTCCTTGTTTGCTATCTCCTGTGGTATTGCTAGTTTGTAATATTGGTTTTATCTTGTTCTTGACTACACTTGTTTCCTCACTACAACTCCTGTCTCCCTCGAGGCCACTAATATGCATTCCTCCATGCATGCAGTTACTGTCTACCAGGACACCAGTGCTGAGGAAAGTTTGGAGGGTTTCTGTGCAGGGGTTTGAATGGGCTTGCCTGAGCATATTGACCCCAGTGAGGATATTTCTTTCAGTAACATGATCTCTGGTGCTTGGAATATCAAGTTCTTTCCGCATATTTAAAATTTTGGCAGTAGAAGGCATCCTAGGATGATCCTCATTGCTTCGTTCTGCAGTTCTTCCAACTCTCCAAGCTTCCAGACAGACACGAGAGCAAGTAGTGGTGCAGCATAATCAACCAATGATCTAATATAAGCAAGATACATCAATTTCAAAATTTTAACATTAGCACCATACATGGGATGAATACCTGCCACAACTCTAAGTGCTCTCTGCCTTTCTTTGTATTGGCGACAAAGTCTCGTTACAACAGGTCCAAGCTGTGGGACCTCAAAGCCTAGATATCTGTATCTGGAGAACTGTGCCTCTCTGTCAAGGAGGATGCCTGTTGAGTATCGTTGTTTTATCAGTAGAAATTATCAACCCCGGGTCCTGACATGAAGTTTGTACATGGTTAAGGATGT